AAAAAAGATCGTAGAATAGAAATATCCCGCATATCGTAGCAATTCATGTGACGTCACAGAAACCCTGATTTTCAATAGGTGGGTTAATTGATGTTGCAATTGGCGACATAAGTTGTGTGCAATTGTCTCTTTAATCTAACACTTCTGTCATTGTTAAAAAAAGTTAAATACAAAGTGCAGTATTTACAAATTCAAACTACAACTATTTAGCAATTAATAATTATAATTTAATGAATTAGCCGTTCCTACAAACAATTATAATAATTAATCAATTTGAGGCCAACAAATTTAGATCGTACAATTACATTTTTTACATGATATGTATATTGATATTAATATAACGCGAGAACAATTTATGAATGAAAAAAATCGTTCCAGTTGGTTTCGCATCAACCTGCGTCACCGGTATGTGTACGTGCGACTAGTCAGATAGTAAAATCGCTTACAATAATTATTTTATTGCAACCTTAATTGCCAATTAACTGGGTAAGCCGGAAAAATCCCCAATATTCGGGACTTTGATATATTTATTTTAAACGGCGCGCCTTCGCCAAAAACTGCGTAAATTATAAACATTTCGGCGCCACACCAAATATAAAATCGACTCTATTAGTAATGATGTATTAATGGGAAATATGACTACGCAATAAAGACGAAAATTTGTGAATTACCGTTCGTTTCATAAATTTTTTTTTATACATTTTGCAATTTGTTATTTTGTTTGATAAGGGTTATTACGTTGGTAAAATTATTCTGGATTCGATTGTAACCTTCGTGAATTTGTATAATAACAAAGCCTACGCAGAACACGAGGCTAATGACATCAAATTAAAAAAAAAACTAAGTACTTACTTGAATGAAAATTAAAATGCAGTAACAAACTAGAGTGAAGATGTAATCTTGGCATTCTATATTACGCTTCATAGTTTAACAGACCCACCCTTATCCCCCTAATTTTAACCAGATTTTTTTCAGAATCATTCATATTATTTTTTGTTTCAACCCCCCTCTCATTTATACCTATTCAGATTTTTTTTCAGAATTAACAAGTTTTATTCCCTTATAAAGATTGATGTTGATATCTTTTTTCGTTTTTTTAATTCCATTTTTTTTCTTTAATTTCAATTCCCTTAACCCATCTCATCCATTTTTATTCAGATTTTTTCAAAATCATTAGACTTTGTACCCTTATACTGAGCTCAGTTTTTGCTAAAAATTTCAGGTTGATATATTTAGTTTTTAAATGAGCATTGTTTTTAATATTATAACCCCCTTAATGTCCCCCTATTTTTATTCAGATTTTTTTTTTAGAATCAATAGAGTTCATCCCCTTATAGACCTTGACTTTGATTAAGAATTTCATGTTTCGTTCATGATTAATGACTTTTATTAAATTTCAACCTTCCTTAACCCGCAATTTTTATTTATAGGCTTTGTCCCCTTATGGAGCTTGATTTTCCTGAATATTTCAAGTTGATATCGTTTTTGTTTATGATTTTTTTTTTAATTTTAACCCCGCGTAAAACCCCATTTTTGATCAGATTTTGTTCAAAACCAATAGACTTTGTCCCTATATATATTTGATTTTTTTTTGAAAATTTCAAATTGATATCATTGCTCGTTTTTGATTTATGGTGCGGAGAAAAAACGTGATAATAAAATAAACTTATAATACTCTTCACAAACTACTTGTAAAGAGTTTAATAATATTAAAGGACCTATCTAAATACCTCGACCGACTGCCGTATTTACATTTTTTTAAACCAGATAATGCGAATTTTCAGTTCCCATCAGAAATTGTAGAACCCAACTGCGCAAACGAGCGATTCAACTACGCCCGTGCGGGATTTCAGATGTAATTTTCGTGTCCCACGTACGGGGCTATATCCACGTTCTATTTTAAAATAACACGCTGCGCATCCACCAATAATGTAAAAACGTAAGAACAATAATATTAACAATATATGTGATACTTTTTGGCAAAAGAATACGTGACCATCAACTCGTTCTGGTAGATCCTTAATCTGTTTTAAGCCTTAATGCTTGATTAAATCTTTTCTCAAGGATTATTCAGAAATGGTCTGTTGGAAATTCGTAACCGCGCTACGGCTCCTGTTGATTACTAATATTGCGGACGTTTGAGGTTTGCGGTTTTTTAATGGGTACGTGAAAGTGTTCTACACAGTTTATTTTTTAATACTTTCTTTGGGCATTGCAACGGTCTCAAAATTCCATGTATTTAAAAATAAAACATTTTCCTCAATCGGCATTCTGGCGAATCATTTTATTTCAGAATTTTTATTATGTTTATACTATTAGCTCTACAACCACATTTAATTTTAATTTCGTCCTTTTTGAAAGATTGATCACAGTAATCGCAGCCACAGTGGCTGTGTTTATGTTTAGTGGATTATTTTGTTTAAGCATTACAGGTTTATTAAATGGTGTAAGCATGAGTTGAATATTTTTTTAAATACTGTAAATGTGGTACTAAATGAACCATGACTTCTCCACTCCGAGCGAAACCGGTTGGCCAAAGGTTGTTTATGAGACAGTCTAAACTTTTACGTCATAGATTGTGTAGTTTCCTAGTAGATAGTTGCCTTTTGTATTCTAATTTAGCAGTAACAAATTTGGATTGTATTCTGCGACAAACTGGAGGAAACAATTGGCGCCTAACTTAAATGAAACACGCAGTACAGGTATAAAGGTTATTTTTGTTAATATAGAACTCTACATTTTTTTATTTGATTCTATTTCTAATAGACTTTTTCAAATCAGATGCTGCATTGTCTAAAACTTCCAGAAAATTTTAAATATTCTTAAATTTTTTTAAACTTTTACTTTCACCAATATTTCATGCAAATTTCCATACATTTTTTTTTTTTAAGAACACACTGTATTTTTTTGAATTTGTTAAATTTGTTTAAAGCCTTATATAATTAGTTTTTAGATGATATAGCATCATATAGTATCATCTCCTTTGACTATGTGAAAAAGAAAGACCCAAACCTAGAAGAGTCGTGTATACAGGTTTTTAATTTTAATTTAATTTTTGTCACTAATGGAAACACCGTAGTTCACTCAAAATTACAAAATACACCCTACAGAAATGTACTCATTTTTGTTTTCCCACAATTACAATTTTTTCTAATAATAATTTGTCTTACATAATAACAGTTGGCCAACATCGAAAAGAAGGAAAAAACAAATTAACAAACTCTGTTGACTCGGTTCCTTCACCAAAATTAGATGAGATATTTCCCTGGAGGCTTAACTATAAAAAAAAGCCGAGCGTTTGCCATTTAATCTGAAATAACCTTTTATATATACTCTTTTGAAATAAGGAAAGCACCCAATGAATTGTTAAATTGAGAAACGCGAAGTTACGAGTGCGAACCGCTTTGGGAGTTTATTGACGAAAAATTATGGCTGGTAGATTTCAAATTTATGCAAAGTGAAAAAGTTCGAGTTGAAAAAGAATGACTGTTGGCTCTTTTTACCCTTAAAATGTACAGTAAAAGTAAAAAGTATAGAAACAGATTCTAACTGTACTATTAACATAATATTTTGTTTTGAGGATACTAGGTTATAAAGTCACAGAATAACTATGGTATATTGAATAATATTTTTCTATTCTAAAAATATTGAGAAAATCCTTATAAAACGAAATCTCGCGATTTCTTTAAAACCATCATGATAAATTAATATTATCTATAACACCTTTATCTGTGTTTAATAGTGTTATTATAAATAGACATCCTTATCTCTTAAAAACATTTCATTTCCGTTCTTGGGAATTTTGTTAATCGTTACATTTGTATTAGTTAGACAGACAAAAAAGTCCTTCCATGTGTGGATCATTTACAAGAGTCAAAAACGCAAAATCAGTTTTAACTCTACAATATTTTATAACAATATTTGGAGGCGATAACAAAAAAATGGCTTCCAAGTAAATAAACAACAGACGAGTTACGGATTGAATACTCTCTGAAACCAGAACTTTGCATCATCCTGTATACAGGGTGTCCCGAAATTAGACAGTCATATTTTAACATCCTAAAATAGGAGTAAAAGTTCATATAAACATAGATCTGAAAACGTTTCGTCTCCGAAATACAGGGTGTTAAAAGTGAAGTGTTGATGACACATTTTAGGACGCACAATTTTCAAGAGAAAAGTATTTGAAAATTTTATAAAAAGTTCATATTATCTTATTGAAAAGTGGAAACAATAATTAGTAGGCCTGTGGAATAAAAATTTTTATTTTCTTTCAGCTTTGGAAATTTATTTAACTTTAATTTGTTTTTTAATGTTTATTTTATAGAGAAACTTGTTTTTTCCAAATGGTTTGGTTAGCTTTGGCCCAATAAAATGGTTGATGACAATTTATTTCTTTAACTGTCGACATTTAAACTACTTATTTAAATTAATTTTACCCTAAGCCCCCCCCCTAATTTACCCACCTATGAAGATGATCTGAGGTTTAGTTAATTAAAAATAGCGTAAAAAGTTTAGCATCTGTACCAAATTTAACTTAGTTATCTTTAAACGTTTAGAAAATATTTACAAATATGTGTCATCAAAATTTAACTTTTAACACCCTGTATCTTGGAAACGAAACATTTTCGGACCTATGTTTTTATGAACTTTTACTCCTATTTTAGCATGTAGATTACGCGACCGTCTAATTTCGGGACACCCTGTATATATACATATATAAATAGTTAAAAAGTGAAAGTTTTAATTCATCCGTTAAATAATAAATACGATTTATGATTTTCGTAAAGTTGATATATTTGATTGCTAAAAAGTTTGACGTGCATTTTTGAAGTGACGATAGTTAGCTTTACCGCGAAGTTTTCCACAAAGAATATTAAAATGTTTAAGGTTCTACTAGGTGTTAGTCACGTTTCTCGTCCTATCGTCCATCGGCTATAGTTTAGCCAAATGTAGAAGTGGGGAAGTTATTTGTTAAAGAATGCCTGCGGCGTTCAGGACACAAGATTCGGCGGCGACGGCTTGAGAGGTTGGCGTCGTCTAAGGTGGAAGGTAACTGGGACGCTCGTCGACGCTTCGAAGGAGATCTCGCCGCGAAAAGTACAGCAGGAAAGTTAAGTGAAGCACAGCACATCCGAAGCATCAACGGGTATAGGCCTGTGTACTCAGATCGCGCCAGTATCGTATCGTCAGTTGATTCAGTTCAGTCAGTATTTGTTTTAGTAGTGTGTTCGCGTCCGTCGAACAAGTAGCACGCATGTATTAGGAGAGAGTTATGATGATAACGCGTGTTGTGGCGGTGCTAAGGATCCACGGTTGGCACCGGGGCCGGCCTAGCATTGCCACGGGTGACAGACAGTGACAGTGAGATACAGTGCGACACTATGTCCCAGTCATGGTGAAAACGCTGTTTCTGGGACTGCTAGCTGCTTCGATTTGTGGTTTCTTGTACGCCGCTCCAGCCGCCGAACCCTACACTAATTCAAAACTACCCTTAACTTTGGACAACTCTTCTTCGTCTTCCTCTGACGATTCACCGCTGGAGGACCCTGCGGCCCGCAGCGAACGGAGTACCAATCTCTCTCACGTTACTGGTACCGCCAGAAAAATACAAATGTTTATAAAAAATAGACATTTGCAAATATTACCTGACGGAACTGTCAATGGCACCACCGATGACACTAGTGCTTACTGTGAGTCCAAATTTTTTTCTCACCACATTACCCCTCTCCAACAATTTTTTTTTCAGATATATCCGCGCCACACTTAACTATAACCTACCCCAAAAAATCTAATATAAAAAATATATTTAATTTTACACACAAATTAAAAAATAATTAAAATACAGATTATTTTTTACTGTATAAATGGTAATATTTAAAATTTTCTGGATAAAATAAATTGTAATAAATACAATTAATTTTTTTAAATAATGGTGTATGAACATACAATAAAATTAATTAATAAATAAGCATATTTGTATCCTGCTGACATATTGTGTATACATACAATTATTTCTAAAGGGTAATTCTAGTAGGTAAATGGTAAAAAATAAAAATTATGAAATAAAACAATTATTCTTTCGTGAGTATAATTAGTAAAGGAACTAAAATTAATTAAAAAAATTAAATAACATTCAATTTATAATAAATACAAATTTCAAGATCACAATGAGTCAGGTTTCTGATGTCCTATTCTACACAGGTACTTCTTTTGTTTTTAGTTAAATATTACTTAAAATTATTTAACTGTTAAAAAAAATCATATCTAATTAAAATACAAATATTTCTATTTTAAATATTTATAATCAATTAAATTATAATAATGAAAATTGATTAAATTTTTTTAAGTGGGTCCAAATGTTATTCTCATTATAAGTATTTCCCCACTCTACCCCATTTTTTTTCTAATATCGCTATCTATGCATCACCATAATTGTGTAGGTAATAAATTATAAAATTTTTATTTCTGTACTTAAAATAAGTAGTTAACAACTAGGTATAAACTGTTAAATTGTTTATAACTAATTTTTACTAATTTTTTTCCCAAATAAAGTTTACTATAACTTTAACTTGCATACAAATAAAAAAAACAATTAAAATATCGACTATTTTTAAATAAATAATCTTTTATACGTTTTTTTTTTAATATATCTTAAAACCATACAAATTTACTAAAAAAAATATATAAAATATGATTTTATCTCGTGTATAAATTAAACAAAAAATAATTAAACTCTCAAATTATAACATTTATATTTCTTTGAACAAAATAAGTAATTATCACTATAAAAATTTTAATGTAATTATTTCTGGTAAATTTAAACTTCATACCTACTTTTTTTCAAGTCAAATTGGTTATGTACTAACCAAATTATAAATGGTGAAAATATTCATAATGCCAGAAAACATTTTTATTAAAAAATAGCAACTGATAAAAGATGTAATCACAATGATTTGCAAAAAACAATAACCACGATAATAATATATTGATGAAAAAAAAATGATTCAGATAAGTAATTAAATAATTACATCAAAACAAATATTTATTTTGAATGTTATGTCATTACTAACACATTATTTAATTATATTTTTTATTTGCTTATTGATTTATTTATAAGAAAATTGTTTAAAAATAATAAATACTTATAATAATTAAAAAAAAAAATAAATAAAAAGTGAATGTTTTATATCGACTGAAATTAGAAATTTTGTGAGCTAATAATGATATCAATACTTACTTAAAATACATAAAGACAATCACTGTATGTTTTTCGAAAATCATACATAATAAAATTAAGAATAACATAATCTTTCATTTCATATTCTATTACCTAGTGTGTACGTTATACCCTCTTCATATATTAAAAAAACTGAACAAGAGATATCTAGTAATTCAAGTAAATCTTGGACATTTATATAAGCAATCCAAATCACCTGAAATAATGTCTTAAAACAATAATTTACTAATTTCTTCAGACACTCATATATTATTTCCAGTTCGTTTATGATTAACTCAAGTTCAATACTTAATGTCTCCTTCATAAATGTTAATAGTTTTACCTGAAAAGTGAACCACTTCCGAAATACTGATACGTTTTCACTCGAAATCACCGAAACCCCTACAAATTCTCTCAAAATTTCCGAAATAATCACCGAAATCAATGTGTCGCTCAGAAATATAAACGCAACAGATAGTGGATCAGAAAACAAGGGGAGAGGCCCAAAAAATTGTCGATCAAAAATAAAGTAAACTATTCAAGAAGAAAATTTATAGAAAAATCGTAGAAAATTTTTTCCGAAATACGGGTACGTTTTAACCTTAGTGGTTTAGCCTTCGGTTTTACTATAAAAGTCTCCAAAGTTTATTAAACCTAAAAAGATAACTGGTCCAGATTATATCCCGGCTTTAATTTTAAAGCGTCTTGGAACATTAACAGTTCCAAATATTAGGAATACCATATAAGTATGTCGTTATGAAAAAATGGGATAAAAAAAGATATAACCAATTGTAGACCAATATCTATAATATAAATTTTTTAAACTTTATTAGAAAAGAACTTATATTATCATGTTAGCAAAATGTTATCAGTCAATCAACACGGGTTTATAAAAGATATCAACCTGATTATCGTTACATAATACTTTGCTAAATCTATTGATTAGCATGCCCTGAAGATTGTCATCTATACAGATTTTTCTAAAGCATTTGATGGTACTCTGCTAGAAAAAGTTTTGGATTGTCCCTTTAATAAATTTTTTACCGTTGGTCCACCCCGTATATATTTATATATAGCATTAAATCATAAATAAATTTTAATCATTTACTATTAAATTAAATAGGTTTATTTTAAAACTTTCATTTTTTTCATTTTTTTTATGTTTAAATCACCGGAAAAAGTTTTACATAGTCCGGATACATTCCTATTTAGGTTAGTTTTTACATAAACTTTCTATCACTTTTATTACTATTACATTTTTTTCTTTAGTACCTACACTTAATTAAATGATTACCAATAATATCAATCAATAAATTATCCAGATTTTGACATTACTCTTAAACAAATTAATATCGAGTCATAAAATTGACTTAAACGGTAAGTGGTAATTCCAGTTCTCCTTTTTTTGGACAGTCGACGAAGCAAAACTCAAACACGTTAAATTCTGCCATCTACAGTAACAGAAGGAAAGAGAATTTACTGAATTAATGTTAAGTATTTATATATTTATAATTAGAAATTTATTTAATTAATAACATTGATTTTTTTTCTAATAATAATAATAGGGTTTATTTCCCAACAGTATAAACCATTTACAGAGCAAATACAAAAACTTAAAAATAAAAGTTAAATTAAATTTAAATATCATTACAGCACTACAGATATTAGTACATTAAAAATATTGCAAAAAATTGCCGAAATTAGACGGTCATATTTCAACAGCGAAATCTACATCCTAAAATAGAAGTAAAAGTTTTCGAGGTACAAGTAAAGTCCTGATAGCACATATAAATGTTTTCTATAATTTCTTTAGTCAACGGTTTTCCAAAGTTAAAAAAAAAATTCTGATTCCACAGGCCTACTAATTATTGTTTACACTTTCGAATATGATAACATCAACTTACACAGAAAAAATGAAATTCTTACAAAAAAAATACATAATTTCTTAATTTAAGACATTATTCTTACTTGAAAATTTGACACTGATTTTAGTGTAGACATAATTATTCTCAAGACATATTTTTGAATAAAGCAAATTACTCTTAATTCAAAACACGGCAATGTTTATATAAAGAAAATCACATATAATTAACAGTTTCATATTTTTAATCGAATTCATATTCTTTAATGAAGAAAGTTATTCCTTTGTTTCAAAAAAATATATACAAGCATATCATTTTTTTTCGGGAAGAAATTATTTCCTTCGTTATATACAAATAACAACTGGTCTTAAATCAAATCAAATTAATTTAAATGAAGCAATTTTTTTGTGTGTATCATGAAATTTTCAAATACTTTTCTCTTGAAAATGGTGCGTCCTAGCGTGATACAACAAAAATAACTTTATTATAAAGAATATATTGGTTTTCCAAATTTTGTAATCAAAAATGTTAAAAACAGTCAAAAAAACTTTTGGTCAATTCAACCGTAAGCCCCTTCCTTAATTTACCCACCTAAATTATCTTTAAAAGTTTAGAAAATATTTACAAAAATGTGTTTATGTTTATATATACTTTTACTCCTATTTTAGGATGTAGATTACGCTGTTAAAACATGATCGTCTAGTTTCGGGACACCCTGTATACACTAATTTCAAAATTATTTGAAATAATAATTTTTTAATTTTTAACTTTTAACATAAAAATTGAATTTCTTAGAACATGTTTATAATTAAACCCTAATTATTTTTCAGCTGAATCATTTATGCCTCATTTTATGCCATATTTATCTGAAACACCTTTTATAATATACAGTGTGTACCAACGATAACTTGATCTCCACAAACTTAGAAACAAAGGAGTTTTTTTTTAATTTAAACACGTCAACTGAGGGGTTAAGTTATCGTTGGTACACCCAGGGTATCTACTCTTGAATCTTAGAGAGTAGAGATTTTGAGGGAAGAATGAGACAAAAATACAAATTTTGTGCATGGCAAATAAAGGTGAAAACCGGTTTTCTATTCCCTGAAATTCAAGAATAGCTACCCTGTATATTATAAAAGGTGTTATTAAAAAATTTGCGAAAAATGAGCGATAAATTATACATTTTTATGTTAAAGTTGTAAATTAAATGACTTTGATATTGGTACAAGTTTTTCTTCCAAATTTGCCATAGTTAAATTGACCTAAAAGACACGTAACTGCAAAAAAATCGTTGACTCATTTTTGCCAGGGGCGTACACAACGGTATGGGACCCCTTAAATCCCTCTACTTTGTACGACAATGCTTAATTTTCAATTTCGAATTTGGCAATGCTCTTTACGTAAATAATGTGTTTTTGTTTCACTTCTCTAAAATAAATATTTTTAGAAATATTCGTAATAATAATAATGTGGTTTAAACAGTACCGAAAATCGCCTGAATAAAATTATTGAGACGTAAAATACAATAATCATTTCCATAATTATTACCATTATTACGATTTGTTTTTTACATAATACATTCTTTGGGATCTACCACATTTTACGAGTTTAT